CCCTTAATCAGCATTTTCTTGGTTTCTCGTATAGAGAACCCTCATTGGTTTAAATGATTTCTGCAAGGCTAACAAGCACTGAGGGAGCATTTATGTGTTGTTTAGTAACATTCAGTGACACTCTCAATGGTAGTGAAGAGGGATTGCCTTTAATGATGTAAAGCCCCAGGCCAGTATTGTGGGGAATTGAATAGTTAATGCATTTGGCTGTGGTCTCCAGGAAATAAACCATGTTAACTATGCTGGACTCCCCAGCTCATCCCTAGTCAAGCTGCAGAGCTCTGGATTTGGTTGCCAAGTATGTCACCTTGGAGCCAGTTCAGCTTCAAGAAGACAGACAACCTCTCTATTAACACAGGTTGACAATCTAAAAAAAACGTACATCACACATGTTGGTGAACTATACTTACCTTTAGGGTGGATCATTCCAGTACTACCCCTTGTGATGGGCGCTATATGAATGTAAGTTGTTGTTATTGCTATTGAGTCAGAAGGTCCCACGTTGGGACTTTGAGCTCCAAGTCAAGTCTGAAGCTTCAGTTCTGGGGAATGCAGCATTGTCAGAGGTGCCGTGCTGTGGGTGAGAAGTTAAACCTAAGTTCTATGTACCTGTTCATGCAGATGTTAAGAATCCCATAGCATTATTTGGGAGGAAGTTTATCCTGGTATCCTGACCAACAATTCTTTATTCATTTCATTTACCTATAATAAGTTCTGTATTGCCATTAGCTTGACAGCTTATGTACGTTCGCGAGGGAAGAGAAGTGCGTTAACAATCTATCAGCTTTAGTATCCATTATCCCGGGACTTGGGTGTGATTCGTACTGTAGTTAAGTACTAAGAGCCCTTGCCCTGCAAACAAGAGGATCCGGGTTTGATTCCCAGGCATGGTGAAACCTTAGGCAAGTTTCCTTACTCCGCACACACGCCTCTGTTTACGTAATAGTAAGTAGGAACCCGCTTATTAGTCAATTGGCGGATTACTTTCTGGGGGTAATAACCCCTCCAAAATAATAATAATGATAATGATAATAATAATAATGTGGTCACTCAATCCACAAATGTTTGTGAGACACAGCTTTGTGCGATTAGCTGCTATGTGTTGCATTAATTCTTTGAACCTTCTCTCCGCCTTCTTCGCCCTTTTATACCGCGGAGGGCTTTGTGACAACTCACTCTTTGTACAAATGTGAATTGTGATATTTGATGTGTTTTTTTAGCTCCTGTTAACCCTGCAAGACCGAACAATAACAGGTAGAGTGGGTCCTACCTGGACCAACAGTGGGACGCTTGCTGTGGTAAGGTGGGCATTGTGCAGGGATGCGATCAGAAGGGCCATCTTTATCTGAACCACACTTGCAATCTTGTGTTTTTGTTGATTTATTTCTCAGTATCCTCTAGTGACACGTAGAACAATCCCATGAGATTTTCTATGACTTTTCTGAGATATTGATGGCAAGTTTGGTAAATATTAGTCCTTCAAGGCTTTGTTGATCATTAATTCATCTATTCTTCTCTCTGACTTGGTGCTCCCTTTCATATTGTGGAGCACTTTGCGACATTTCTCTCTTTGTGCAAGATGCTGTACAAGTGAAAGCTGTGATATCTGATGTGTTTTTAAGCCATTGAATTATAGTGTTTGTTTTACGGTGTTCACACTTGTGATAAAGTGACCAGCCAGGGTGGTTTTCACCAGAGCTCAGAATAATCCTTGCATTTGATACAGCGCCTCATCACATCTTCAAGACGTCTCAAAGCGGAGACCTGGAGTGAGCCATTAGCGTGGAAATTACGTCAAACAGAAGGTATTGGCTGTTGGTTTAGGCGGGAGGTTTCAAAAATAGCACTCGCTACGATAAATCCTGTGAATTTATCAACCTTCTAAACTCAAGTCAATACAGACCAAATTTATTCTTTTATGTCTTGTATTATAATAATAATTCTTGCATTTGATATTGCGCCTTATCACATTTTTGAGACTCCTCAAAGCACTTCACAGAATATACTGTAAAGTGAATTGACTGTATTTTGTGGGCGTATTCATAATTGCATAGTCATTTGATTCTGTAAATAGAGAAGAGAGTTTCTCCTGGTGTCCTGGCCAAGAATATATGTCAACTGTGCAAACAATTTTAACATTTTAACTTCATATTTGTTAAAGCAAATGCATCTATTCTTACAATATAACTGTGTGAAAGTGCGAGAACTGAGATAAATTCACCCACTGAAGTAACTATACTCCTTTGGGCTGAACTGGCTCCAAGGTGACATGCTTGGCAATGGAATGTCAGATCCAACCAGGATCCACAGTACTCAAGGGCAGTGCTGATGATAACAGAGCCAACCTGGCTCATCAGCAGGACATGGAGGGGCAGACCAGTCACTGGGGGCTGGGTTTCTTTCCACTCAGCAAGCCAAAGCCCTAATGGTTAGGGTGGGTCTGTTAGAGTGTTTGCAACCACTCCAAACAAGTTCGGATTGGGTACTACCAATAGGTCAGAGTCTCAGGATGTTTTAATCAAAACAAACTTTAATTATGCATACATGTATAAAAGAGAGTCATGGCTATCTTAATAAAACACAGCAATATTACTGAGCGTTGCAGATTCAGCACTTTGTCTTTACAGCAAGCAAAGTTTAGTTCTTCAAAGGATCAAGCCTTGCCTTTTCTAGCTTTCTGCAATTCCCGCCTTGTTGCTCTGGAGTTAACCAACTTACATAAGTTGGAGCCTAGTTTTATAATACTGTGATGGGTACTGTACCAAGCCTCTGATCAGATCATCCCCAACACGCACACCTGTTCATCTCGTGCAACTGGTCACATGATCACGTGATAGCCTCATAGTGTTTCTGACTGATAAGGTTGTTTTTCCAAGATTTGGGGAGTCAAGGCACAAGGGTCAATACAAACATTGTCTGGTTAAATGAGCTGACGGTTTGTGATCTTGAGTCAGAACACAAGGATCCTGCTATCTACTTCTTCAATATGATGCTTGTTCTTTTAAGTCAGCCATTTTACAGCATCTCATAAGCATTTCTTTTATGCCATTTTAAGCAACTTATAACAGGTCCAACCTGGACAAACAATGGGAAGGTTGCTAAAATAAGGTGGGTGTTCTGGATGGATGAAATCAAAGGGTCGTGTTTGTCTGAACCACACTTGCAATCTTGTGTTTTTATTGATTTAACCTCAACATCCCTCATGTAGAACTTGTAGAATGATCTTGGAAGGTTTTTTTTAATGACTTTTCTATCGGTGGCAAGTTTGGTAAACATTAATACTTCAAAGCTTTGTTGATCATTAATTCATCCATCTTTCTCTCTGACTTGGAGCTCCCTTTCATATTCTAGAGCACTTTGTGACATTTCTCTCTTTGTCCAAGGCACTGTCCGAGGCAGTGATGATATCTGATGTCTTTTTTTAGCTATTGCTTTGCATTACTGTCATTGCCTGTTTTATGGTATTCATGTTTGGTGTAAACTTGACCAGCCAGGGTGCCTGGTACTGTAAAGGGGTATTCTTATATGTATAGACACTAGACTCTTTTAAGATGTGAAATAGAGAAGTTTCTCCTGATGTCCTGGCCAATAATCAAGCCTAGCTCTGAGACCATTCTCTCTATTAAATTTAAGATTAAGTGAATAATCCAATTACCACGCCAACACAGTCCTGGGAGAGTGTTGTGCTGTCAGAAGTACGTTCCTTTGGATGGGATGTTAAATTGAAGTCTCGTCTGCCTGTTCAGGCGGTCGTTAAAAAAAACCCGTGGCACTATTTGAAAAGAGAAGGGAGTTTCTCCTGGTGTCCTGGCTAACAATCCCTCCAAATACAACATAACTTGTATTTTTATAGCATGCTTCGTATGGGGGTAGCATCTGGGAGCACTTTTATAAAACTGGGCACTCACTTCATTGCTGTGTGTGGGAGGGATATTGGATATTGCTGAGAACAAATTGGCTACCGTGTTTGTGTACAAAATACACAGTCACTACACGTTACAATATATATTCTGCAAAGCACTTTGAGATGTCTTGACAATGTGATATGGCGCTATATCAAATGCAAGGATTATTATTGTATTATTATATTTTACAGTAAGTGCTTTGAGGTGTCCTGAGATGGGGGGAGAGTGCTGCAATGTCGGAGGTGCCATCCTTCGGATGAGACATTAAACCGAGGTCCCGTATGGTTGTGCATGTTCAGATGGCTATTCACTGGAGATGGCTATTCAAACAGAGAAGGGAGTTTCTCTAAGTGTCTCGGACAACAATCCTCCAGATAAAAATTGTTTGTTCACTTCATTTGGTTTGGTAGCATTTGTACAGCCCTTATCCTGAGCCTGTGCTGTGTTACCACTGACATTTCACTCCAATAGCCGCCCCAGAGAGAGTGTGTGTGTGGAACATTTATTTACTGTCTGGGAAAAGGAATCTCTTTTTTTCCTCTCCCTCTTGGGAGTATGTTCTCCCAATCACGTGGCGTTCTCTCACTCTCCCACCCCCAGGATTTTGACTGCAGTATGTGATTTAGTTGAGCTGTTCCCACAACCTCAAATCTTACGAGCAGCAGAGAGTTGGACTGAACTTAACAGCACAGAAGAACCTCAGTGCTTCGCTTTCTCTTTCTCTCTCTCTCTCCCCCCATCTCTCTCCACTAAACATCAGCGCCGCTGAAATTGACTCGTGTTAATTTCATGTTAATTTCATTCGTCTTCTCTCGAGCAGGCGCCTCCCAAATTTGCAATCAACCGCCTTTCTGAGCCAAGGGCTGAGGAATAATAATAATAATAATAATAATAATAATAATCACCATCATCATCACAGTCATAATAATCGCCAGCAAAGTAAAGTCTGGAGTAAAGGAGACCAGCACTCAGTCGCTGCTGCTTTGCCCTCCTTCACTTTGTGCATTGTTTGCTCCCCATCCTTTATATTCCCTGAGAGTCTCTGCAAAGAGGAGAGAGAGAAAGAAAGAAAGAAAGAGAGAGAGAGGGAGAGAAAAAAACTGAAAGTGAGACACAGACAGAGAGAAAGGAAGACATCGAGGATTCAGCCACAGATGCAATGGTGCAGCCTCTGAACCGGGAGGATGTTCCGCTCCACTGGTAGGTTTTCTAACGCAATCCCAACTTTCTGCAAACTCTTTTGCTAACTGTTCCAACTACTCCCTCTCTCTCTTCTCTCCCACACTCTCCCTTCCTTCCTTCCTTCCTTCCTCCCTCTCTCTCCCCCTCTCTCTCCATCCCAAAGCCCAGCCACATCGTTCCCTTCTCCTTCCATCATCACAGCACACACACAAGTTGGAAGTTAGAATAAACTTTGCGATCATTTAGGAAGAGACATTAAGACACCCCCCACCCCACACACTCACACACACACTCCCCACCCCTACCCCACTACCCTTCCCTGTTAAATTGGGTGCTTAGTCTGGGAGATGAAAGGGGATGGGTGGTGGGGGGGGTGTAGAGAGAAACATCCCAATAATCCACATGAAAACCCTGGCTGCTATTTTAAAGGCTCTATTCCCTATCACTAAAGTCGATTTAGTGGGTGGGGGAGGGCTGCAGAACAGCACTGCAGCAAAGGGGAAATATTTTAAGGGTGGGGGGGGAGAGAAAGTTATACACTTTTTTTTAAAAAAAGAAACTTTTTTGGAGCTGGGGGGTGAGGGGGCCAAAAGGACAGTCAGGGAATATTGTGAGTGAGTTGGGAGGGGGAGTTATGTCAGATTTATTATATTTTTATTATATATTATGGAGTCCTGTAGCTCAGTGGTTAGAGCACTCGCTTTGCAAGTGAGAGACCTGAGTTCAATTCCAGGCACAGGGCGAAACCTTGGGCAAGTTTCCTTACTCCACACAGAGCCTAATAATAATCCCTCCAAAACCAAAAACAATAATAAATTGGTCATTTTCAATCTACGACTGTTTGTGGGACATTGCTGTGCGCAATTGGCTGCCGCGTTCGCACACAAATATACAGTCAATTCAGTTTACAGTGTGTTCTGTGAAGCGTTTTGGGACGTCCTCCCAACATGAAAAGCGCTATATCAAATGCAAGGATTATTATTATTATATTTTAACTAGAAATTAACAAACATCTCTATTTTGTAAGGGGGCGGATATCCACATTGAAAAACAGACATGCCAGATTATCAAAGGGGTGCAGTGTACTCTATAGACTGTTTACACACCAGCTGAATTCTAACCATATTAGCAGCCCAGAGTTTTGAGGGAAGTTAACTCTCTGTTTCAATCCTGCTGCAATTTTGCCATATCCTCCTTTACGACCACCACCCCCCACCCACCACCACCTCTTTTGCAGTCGATTTTTAAAAATATTTTTTAGAGATAAAATGATCGACGCATGTTAAATTTGTAACTAGAATACTGTAAACTCCTCAGAACTCAACCCTGGCTTAACTTGTCACACCGTTTATGTCATCGTGTTGTCGGTATCCCGAGCACATTTATGTATCTATTTATACATGCGGAGTCACGTATGGTGTAGTAGTGGTTAGCCCATTCGCCTCGCAAACAAGAGGAACTGTATTTGTTACCTGGGCAGGGTGAAATTTAGCCAAATTTCCTTACTCCACATGCCTCTGTTTACCTGGCAGTAAATAGGAACCCGGTTGTTAGTCGATTATTGGATCACTGTCCAAGCATAACACTAAAAATAAAAAATTTGGTCACTTAATCCATGACTGTTTGTGTGCAATTAGCTGCTGCTTTTCTCCGCCTCAAATACAGTGCTTTGAGAAGTCTAAAATGCAAGGATTACTGGTATTATTATATGCCTATTATGCTACTCCAAATAACTCGTCACTGAGCCCTTTTCCGTCAGAGTTATCAAGAATTTACTGAAATAGAGGCGTATGGAATTCATGTAAAATCAGGACATGTAGAATTGTTGGAGAGGTAGTAGAATGGATTAAAGAATGATTAGGAAAGTGACAGCAAAGGCTTGAAAGGAGCAGGATGTGGTGTACCACAGAGGTCTGTGTTTGAACTACTGCTGTTCACCATATACATTAATGATTTGAATTCAGGTATAGGATTTGTGGTGTCAATATTTTCAGATGACACCAAAATGAGGGGCATGCTAAACACTGAAAGTGATTGCAGACAAATGCAGGGAGATATAACCAGCCAGATGGCAAATTAAGTTTAATGGAGAAAAATGTGAAATAAGTCATTCAGCAGGAAAAATAAAGATGCTGTCCATAGAAGATGTCCAAACATTTGGAGTGTTGTGTCCAATTCTGGTCTCCACCCCATAGCAAGATTATAGCAATGATAGAATGAGTACAGCATAGGTTTACGAGGATGATACCAGGGCTGATAGATAACTGCTATGAGGATGGACTGGATAGTTTGTACCTTTTTGCATCTAAAGCAGTGGTTGAATCAGATAGTGTAGATACATTCAAGAGGATGTTTAATGAGGGTGAGGGGAATAGAGGGGTGTGGGGGGGAGTAAGGACTGGGTGGAAACTCGTGTGGAGTATAAACACTGTCATAGTTGGTCTGGTTCTGTGCCCTGCAGTCTGTGTAAATCTTTCAATCTTCATAAGTCTGGCTAGCTCGTGGCTAGATAACTTTTTCTAAAAAAGATTGTTGACAACGAGTGTGATTTGCCTCTGTTTGCTTCAAACCATGAAGCTAATTTTGGAAGATAGGAAGAGGGAAGAGGTTGCCTGATGTATTGCTGTGGCACGAGTTGTCAAAAAAAACATCAATTGGTTTTCAATTTGGTGCTAACGCTGTCACGATGAATCAGAGGGCTGTGGGGGTCAAGCCCTTTATTGGGGAAGGCTTGAGCTCACAGTGCAATGCATGTGTAGCTCTGAAGAAGGGATAGAGAGAGGGGAGGAGAGAGACAAAGCGCTGCATTGACAGAAGAGCTAACGTTTGGATGATTTGAATTGCATTCACCTGAAAAATGCAGTCACTACACTGTCCAGTAATAATAATAATCCTTGCATTTGATATAGCGCCTTATCACGTATTTGAGATGTCTCAGAGTTCTTCACAGAATATACTGTAAAGTGAATTGACCGTGTATTTTGTGACAATCCATGACAACCGTGTTGCACAAACAGTCGTGGATTGAGAGTAAATCCCGCAAAGCACTTTGAGATGCCCTCCCAACATGAAAGGTACTGTGTTCAATTCAAGGATTACTATAATTATTTATAATAATAATAATCTTTGTATTTGATATGGTGCCTCATCACATCTTTGAGACGTCTCAAAGTATTTCACAGGATATATTGTAAATTGCATTGACTGTGTATTTTGTTGGCAAAACACGGCAGTCAATTGCACAAAGTAGTGTCGCACAAACAGCTGTGGATTGAGTGACCATATTTTATTATTATTTGTTAAATTAATTTAAGTTATTATTTGTTAAAAATGAGAGAGCTTTCCCCAGTGATGTGATTCACTGTCGACTGAATAAATTGCTTGTTCACTGGGTTTAGGTTGGGGAGCTGGTGCTTCAAAATAGCTGCCCCTTTCAGCTAGGAAAACAGTTACTACAATGAGAATAATTCCTGCAAACAGCACTTTGAACTGTGACCTTTTAAGACTATAAAAACGCTATGACTATCCCCTTCCAAGAATCCACGGTTTTAGCTGGTCGGACTCCAGCAGTTACCGGAACGCACATTCTAGGGTCCCCAAGCCTTGGCTCTTACCAACCTGCACCTAATACTCTCTGGAATTAGATAAGCAGGGTGCATCCCACCGGGGAGAGAGTATGCATTCAATTCCAGAGAAGTTTCTGTTGTAGGGGGCAGACAGACATGGAATTCTCAATCTGGTTTGGATACTCTTAAGCATGGTGATGGGTTTCTGCATGTGTCAGACGCCCAGCTGACCAAAATATAACATACTTGAATGGATTGTGATTGTAAGTAAGGGGTTAAAACAAATGCATGTGAAGCAAATCACTGCTTAATTTGATTAAATTATAAAACTCAGGGCTGGAATATGTATTGAGCAGTGCAGACCAGCTGATCTCAGCTAGGGAGATAGTTAGTGGGACTTTTCTGAGGGCAAATTGGCTGCCACGTTTGCCAGCAAGTACACAATCTCTATCGTTGGCAGGAATTCAATGTGAATTACTTTGAAGTACTTTGAGATGTTTTGATGCTCTCTGTTCTGTATCAAATACAACATTATGCTATCGAGGGGCCCCCACTGCCCTCGGTGTCCCTGGACTATGGACAGGAAATCTCAGTCAGGATTCCTGCTGCTGTTTGCTGTCCCGTTCTGGGAAGTGTTTCTGTGGGAGTGTTGGGGTTGGTGTTTGGGGGGGGTATGGTTGAGGTTAGTACAGGAGCAGGCTTTGTTCCATTGCAGTCCCCTCATAGCACCCGTCCTCTCCAACCTCAGCCACGTAGCTTCATAATTCCCATCTCGGGCCACACTTTGTTCATTAGGTCTGAGTGCGTGCATGTGTGTGAGGGGAAAGTGTGTATATGCGAGAGAGTGTGTGAGATTGTGTGTGTGAGTGAGAGTGAATGTCCAAGTGAGAGAGTGTGGAGGGTGTGTATGTGTGTAAGAGAGAGAATGTGTGGTGGAGGGTGTGTGAGAGAGAGCGTGGTGGAGTGTGTGTGTGTGAGAGAGAGAAAACGGGTGTATGTCCCTTGAGTGTGAGTGTGTGGAGTGAATTTTTGAACAAATGGTTGATCTCCCAAGTGTATCAGTTCAATTTAAATCGAGTCCCTTTTTGATCACTCCACCTTGTTTAATCTACCTTCAAAGAAATGAACCAGAATCATGCCTGAGAACAGAACCCAACCCAGCAATGCATGTTCCACTGGGTCACTGCCCCTGACCATTCCTCACATTCTGTGTCACTCCCATGATTACTGCTCACATTTCCATGTTTGACTTTGTAAGACCACTACACATAGTCCCCCTCCCGTGTTAAAATTTCCCATGGCACTATTTCAAAAGAGAAGGGAATTTCTCTCTCCCAATATCCTGGCCAACAACACCCCAGATAAAATTGGACATTGACTTCATGGCTGTTTTGTGCATCATTGCTGTGTGCAAAATTGAATGCCGTGTTCACTTACATAAACAGTCACTAC